AGTTCCATGTGCCGCCCGTCTTCCACCATTGGATCTGATCGAGATCCAATGGTCCATAAGAATTATTTTTAAGGTTTTAACCCTAGACAAAGATCCAACCGCCGCCACCAATGAAGGTAGACGGTTTGATCTGCCACGTATGAGATGCACTCCCTACTCTTCAACTCCCCGTCGCGTGAACCGCCTCCGAAGGGCTACCACACCACTGTCTTCAGCAATCCGTACCGAACAGTGATATAAACAACCATGTCAATCAAATATTCAACCCAAATCAAAACCCCATAAAAATCATAAAAATCCTGAAAAACAGGGGATTTTGCCTACTCAAATATACGAAAATCATCCGCTTATGCAGAGATCTCATCATTTTTCACATAAAAAAATCAACCATAAAGCAGCAACATGAAGATAAGGGGGTGATGGAAACAAAAGAGAAAAAGAGATAGGAGAGAAAAATAAAAGCAAATTTAAGTCGGGGAAGAGGGAAAAATGATTCGAACAAGGAAATAACTATCAGAACAAAAAACAAGAGGAAAAGGAAACCCAGAGAGGGAGAGTAGGAGGCTTACCTACTTCGATACTCGCCGGTCATTTCGAGGGTCACCAGAGTCAAGGAAACTGAAGAGATTTTCCTAGATCTACGTTTCTAGGATCTTTTTTGGTCAAAAGAAGCCTGGATTCATACCCAGGGTGAAGAGACGATTTGAACGATTTTTTTCTATCTCTCATACGACATCGGTGGACGACGACTATCGTCGGTCAACGGCGGCCGGTGTGGCAGATGCCCACCAAATTCTGGAAAACGTAAGCTCAGAATGAAGCTCTCAATAACTCTCTCTCTCTTTCAAAACAAGGACGAATGAAGCAAATGAGGGTTGGTTGGTTTTAGGCTCTGGTTTTACCATATATATGTTGTGCGAAACGACGTCGTTTCAGGAGGGGATAGGAGAGCACTTTAGCGTGTGGGTAAACTCTACTTTGGGTCCTTCTGGTTTTGTATCATTATATTATCGTCACTAATGAAATTTCATTTCTTTTTACTTTGAGCTCTTTATTTGTTTTTTATTCTATTTTTGCCCTTTATTCCCTGTTAAATATATTTGTACATTTATCTCATGACTTAGCCATCGTATTTTAGTTTGTTCATGTTTAAGTAATATATGTTTTCATTATCTTATTTTAGTCATTTTTTTATGTTGCTCTATTTTTTTATTTTGTTGTTAAGTGTAAGGTATGACTCATAAATATATCGGTAAAGATGACAGGGGATGGAGTTGAGTGAGCGAAGCGAACATCAATTGTCCTTACAAAGAAAGTCTTGTAGAGGGGGTTACGATTATGTGGGTTGGGGGTGCGGGGGTTGTGCCCCCGCAGTACGGTACATGTTAATTTTGTAATTATGTACCAGGGTTTTCTATTATAAATAGAGATGTAACCTAAACCTATTATCATTGAATAAAATTTTCTAGCGCTGCCTAGGCACCGAGGACGTAAGCACATTGCCGAACCTCGTTAAAATTCTTGTGTTCTTTCGTTTACTTTGCCCGATTTATCAACATTAAGTTTCTGTTGAGGATTGATATTTTACCTTTTTATATTTCAATCCTACATATTGTTTGGATTTATTGCTATTCCAGTACATTTGTTATATAATATGTGTATATTGGCCATATTTTTTGACATGTTTACAATTGTGCCTAAAGTTGTTATTGTTAACACTTTGACCCTTTTATTTAAAGCATGATTAGTCCCTTTTATTAGTATTTTAACTCATTATATATTTCTATATATGTGTTGTTTTCCAAAGTTGTGACATTATTTTTCAACATTAGTCTATTTTACTAATAAATTTTTCATATATATAAATCAAATAAATGTTATTAACCACCTTTGCACTTTATTATTTATCTTTTATTATGTGCGTGTATATATATATTATATACATATACATATACATTTCATTTCATTTCATTTCATATATTTTTTATTTTTATTTGTTTTTACTATTTTACTTTGTTAATATTTTCTTCGAATATTTTCAAGAACACTTGTCGTAGAATGGGCGTGAAAAGCACTGCTTGATCGAAGTAGTATGATTCGATACGACATTCGAACGATATGTGAACTTTGAAATTGATCAAATTTATTTTTCAATTCATCCTTTTATTTTAGTTTAATGGCAATGCTTGTTTCATAAAATGGTATGTCATGTTGTTTATGAAATTACCAATAATTTTCGTTCGATTTGTAGTCTTTGGCATCAATGAGGAAGGAATATTCTTTTACAGATAAGAAATAGACGATATAGCTTTTCCGATGGAGGATTGTTAATCTCTAGATTTCTTTTCAAGTTAAAGAATTTTCCCTAAAAAATAATTCGAAGAAAATTAATTAAACTTTAATAAATGGGTCATACTTTAATTATCTATGTGAATTCATGATTTCTGCCATTTACGATAATATGTAAGCAATTAAGTACCAATTTTGGGCACCGTGAGGGTGTTTATCATTCCTCACGCGTAATCGACTCCTGAACCCGTTAAATCAGATTTTTGGTAAACTCATACCAATTTTTGTCTTTTAATTTTTTTGAATTGTTTAAAAGACTTTTTTAGGTATTCGACCTACCTAACCTAAAGCCGATGACGACTCTAATTCAAAAGTTTCAAATTAATTCAAAATCGCTAATTTTTCAAAATAAAATCATAATAGTTTTTTTAAAATAATATTTAATTATTTTTCAAAAAAAATGGTTATGACATTATTTAAAAAAATTCAAAATTAACTGAATGCAATATATGTCACTTAATGAGTTTTTTAAATAGTTGTACGGCCAAGACACTTATTTTTATATTAAGCCTTATTAACATTATAATAATAATTTTATTTTTTATTTTTTATTTTATAGTTTTATATAAATTTCAAATAAAACAATTATGCATCAAGTGATCAGTGTATTTGTACAAGTCTTTTTTTTTTTTTTTGGTAAGAAAAGAACAGATCCCAATCTACCACTCGAGGCTGTTTCTGCAATCTTCATGCAGAGTCCTCACCACCATTACAGGGGGTTCTTCAAATTTAACACAATCAAGTCTGCTTCTGTTTGCCAACTTTGCCATGCAGTCTGCCACACTGTTTCCATGTCTAGCCACGTGTTGAATCCTCACAATCCAATATCCTTTCATCAGCTTCTCAACATGTTTCAGAATTGCTATCCGAGTATTACCAGTTCGCATCATCTTCACCGCATTCATGGTTTCCAGACTGTATGTCTCTATGATAACTTGTCTTTCACCTGATTCCCAAGCACATTCTAATCCTATATACAACCCCCAAATCTCAGCTTCAAGTACCGAATATATACCTATGAATTTGGAGAAACCTATTAACCATTTACCCTCGTTATTCCTGATCACACCTCCACAAGCGGCGAGGCCAGTCTCCTTGTGCCGAGCTCCATCGGAATTTACTTTGATCCACCCCTCCGGAGGGTGCTGCCAACGGGTGTTACCCCTGATCGTGTTTCCCATTAAGTTAGTTGTCGTTGCCCTATTGATTGTTCGACAGACTATTTCCTTCACTGTTTGCTTCGTTCTAACACGGATCGATCATCATCTAAATGGTTCATATCCTCCATTGGATCCGCACATAACGGGCAATTGCTGTCAACAGTGAGATGACGCCTTTTGCTCTCTGCGTTTGTCATCACTCGATCACAACATATAAGCCATATGAACATTTTAATCTCCTGTGGACCCCTGAATTTTGTAATCACATTCCAGATTGTTTCTCTACAACAATTGTTTTGGTTCTCCGGAATTTCATACGCAGACTTCACGGTGAACGGCGATCGTCTCTTGGTCGCCATCCTATTAAATCGTTACCAAATTGTGGGAGGGCCCTTTTCGCAGCGATTCGTAGTATCACATTCATAGGCAGTAATTGTTTAAATTGCTCCCATTTCCAATTTCCTTCTTCATCGATCATATCAGCAATTGTCACCCTCTGCATGCTAATTGCCCCTGCAGCTGTTACATAGTTAATAAGTGGTCCAAATTCATCAAGCCAAGAATCAAACCAAAAATCCACCTCCCGACCATTTCCAATACACCAAGTTATGTGCCTTCTGACATCCGACCAGACACATGCCAACCCCTTGCATAGTTTTGAGCAATTAGAGTTCCGAAGGGCTTCCGGGATACCATCTTCGCATTTATATTTTTCCCTGAGAAATCTTACCCAGAGTTGATCCTTCTTCGCCGAAATGTTGAAAGCTATTTTCATTAAGAATGCGTCGTTTAGTTTTATCAGTTTCTTGAATCCAAATCCACCATTCTTAATCGGCTGGCAAATATTCTCCCATATGACTAGATGGATGCCTCCTTTATCCTCATTACCTCCCCAGATAAATCGTTTGATAAGGGTTTCAATTGTTCTACAGATGCTTCTCGGAATGGCCGTTGATTACATCGTATAAATTGGCAATGCTGCTAGTACGGACTTTGCTAGTGTAGTCTTTAATTCCAGATATGATAATTCGTTCAATAATTTTGGATAAATACATGTATTCTTGTATAAAATATTCCCATAAATACATATATTTTTATATAAAATATTTTATTTCATTTATGTCCCAAGGTAATAATTAAACATAAAATTTGTTTAAATACTTAAATATAACAATAATAATTAAACACTAATGAAATAAAATAAAATTCAAAAGAGAATAAATTTAGATATATAAAAATAAAAATCAGTCGAATCAAAACAAAATTAACATGTTGTTATCTGCTCCGTTGCCATCCCTAATCATAGATGATAAATTTACGAGTTTCCAACAACCAATTGTTTAGTAAGATGCGACACGAAATCCCTTAAGTAAGATCAAGAGTTTGAATCCTGACGTTTGAGATGGATTCATCTGGGTTAGAAAAGTCGCCCTCACCTCTGCAGTACCCGATCCAAATTATCAGATTGATAAATCAAATACCTAAAATTATAAAAAAATCTTAATATTATAGTGAAACAATAGTTGTTAATTACAAAGCTTTTTCAGTTTTCCCCAACATGAACATGCAAGTTAGATCCTTCAATCATTCAAAATCAAAGAAAAACAAATCTAAAAACATATACCAAACCCTACTTTTCGTAACCATATTTCATCCGGCCGTTGCGACGCCTCCAACCCGTAAACACCGTCATCGACACGTCGTGCAGCTCTCGGAAACAATTAAGTTATTAGTCCAAAACCAATTCCACCCATTTATGCCCCGTTTTAGCTTTCTAAACAGCTGGGATTCTATCTATCCAGTCAACACTCTTCCTTCCTTTCTCTACCTGGAGGTCGATGCTTTTCCGGGATTTATCGAAGTATTCCACGCTTCTGCGTGACCTCTCCATCCTATCCATCTGGTCTAACGATATTTTAAGCTTTTCAAGCTTGTCGATGTTGTTAAATTTGTTGTACTCATGAACTTTCAACTTTCCGGGCCTATCAATGCTTTTCCTTGGCTTGTCCCGGGTATCAGTGCTTTTCCTAGGTTTGTCCCGGGTATCAGTGCTTTTCCTTGGTTTGTCCCTACGGTCAATGCTTCTTCTCGGAGCGTCGAAGTATTCTGTACTTTGCCTAGACTGTTCGATACCATCTGTGCTTTTCCGAGAAGCATTTCTTCGAGAAGGTGACTTCTCAACAGTTGAGATGAACTTCTTGAGATGCCTAATATAATCCGGGTAGAGTTCCAAATCACAGTGATTTCCTCCTTTCACCCATAATGGTTCATATTTCTCTTGGCAAAGTTCCCAAAGTTGCTTCCCATGAGAGCAGTCGACAACTCCATCGTTAGTTCCCTAAATTCCGTTACCGGCACGAAATCACCAGAGTTAATGCCAATCCCCCATTGCAGATATTCTTTGCAATTTATAAATACATACAAGAATACGTTCACAAGCGCACAAAATATTGAATTTTGGTTGAATTTTGGAAACTTACATGAATTATCAGCACAGGACACTTTACAGATGAGATTTTATCAATATTCTGCAAAACCATGTAAATCAAGTTAGACACGCAATGAAAAACTAACATGTGCATGCTTCAAACATCGGAATTTATGGGACGGGATCGATGAGAGAGCGGAATACAACCTTGTAGATGTCAAACCAGTAAGAGCGCTTAACCGGATACATGACTCTTAACCCGGATAATATAGGACTATGCAGAACAACAGCTCTTAGGCAAGGTAAACGAGCAGCGAGATCCACCGTAGGACCACTTCCAACAGACTGACCATATAGGATAATATTTTCTTGCCTGGCACCATAATTCTCTTCGAGACACTTGTATGCAGCTTCAATATCCGCATACGTGTGCTGCTCACTTGGCTGAACAAAAGCATATATACGAACATCAGAGAGAGCGTTTCGGACGCATTTAATTCATACACGTACCAAGAGTAGAAGATTCATGCTACAATTACCTTTCCTGATGATTGTCCATAGCCAGAATAGTCATACCTACAAAGATTTTTATACGTTATTCGAAATATTCAAGATGCCGTGCTAATGAGGACAGGCAGGCATTTCATGGAGGCTGAAACACAAGCAGAAATGTAACACGAAAAAGAAAGGCAGACATTCTTCTACTTGCAAATCTATGCTACTCAAACTCATGTGAGTGTCGGATACTGGTATGTTAAAATTTTTCTAAGTTCTCCCATATATTTGGACGATCTTTCGAGAATCATATCTCCATACCCATGTTCGGATATGCATCAAACACGGGTGTAGAGCACTAGTACTTCAAGAAAACATATGAACACAAATAAATCTTTTCGTTTTCATAGAAAACATTTCCTTTCTCTCTGGAAAAAAAATTGTTTGCTCATTTATGACAATTCCAACCACCAAATTCTCCATAACCATATTACAACCACCAGTTTCCACTAAACCCTAGATCTAAAACCGACTCGGATAAATGGTATTGACCCTTAGCTGAGAACTATATTACTCCACTCTTCATTTTTCTCGAAATACTATGTCCGATGCAGAATATGGGAATACAGGAATATAATCCTCTAAAGATGTTCTAATCACATCGAAATCTTGAAATAATTGAACATACTTGTATTGAACACATCCCTGTGTCCGATACTCACACCTGAATTCGAGTAACATAGATCGCGAATATTTTAAGAGCACAATTCTGATGCCTTCTATGCCACTCTACCATTGATCTAATTGATGGAGAAAGGTAAACAGTGACTAATCCTTCAGAAACCATCATACCGCACTATTTTTCCGGTTTCGAATCGATAAGAAGAATCACGGGCGGTAACGGAATAATCCAAGGATACTTAAGGAAACAGATCTGAATTAAGAAATTAACCACGACAAGATTTCAAGCTCCGAATTCAGTTGAAGCATGGTTATGAACAACCTAAACTGGCATTCTTGAAGCTCAAAAAACAAGTAATTTTCCCAACGAGGACCCTCAATCAGATCATAAAGGGAAAAGTAAACCCAAAAAAATAGAATCTTTCACAAAAACCCCTCATCAAATATCAACATCTTAGCCTTACAACTTCATTTTTTTATTCCTTATACAGCCAGAAAAGAAATACTCATTTTCACGCCAAGATCACAAGCTTAAAAACACATTAATGAAATAATAATAATTAAAAATAAGCTCAAATTTGCAGAAAACGAAATGAATCCATACCCCATGAGATTTACTCTTAAATGGATGCTAAGCTCGATGAATAGCTCATACATTTGGCCAATATCAGCTGCGTTCCCATGAGAATAAAGCAAAGTCGACATAGCCATGGGGTGCCTAACGTAAACAGCAACGATTTCGTTACCACGGCGAGTTGGGAGACGCAAAACGTCGACGTTTTCGCGGTGAGGGAAAGGGTCCAGGAGCAAAATCCCAGTTGCTTCGTCCTTAATTAGCTTGTATGAAGGTGGATTGGGAGGAAAGAAGGCGAACTTGGCAGCCATTGATGACGTCACCCCACCCATATTTTCTTCCTCAGTTTGCTCCCGAGATTCGAAAAAATTATTGGGGTTTTGGACTGAACTTGGAATCAAAGCAGGTTGAGAAGAAGACGACGATGAATATTTTTTAACAATTTTTTTCTTCTATTTTCTCTGTTCTTTCCTTTTCAGAGGATGTTCCTTTTGGCGTCCGCTTAAAGGAGAGAAGAGAGAGATACAGGAAGTCATAAAGTCACCGAGACTGTCACATAAGAAATAGAGATCCGTACGACTCACTTTAGCGTGTGTCTGAACTGTGTTTGTCCTTAAATTTATATGGCGGGTTTTTATTGACTTTTTTTTTATAGAGAAAATAATTTCAGTGATCGAAAATATCTTAAATATGATTTTAATCAAATTTTTTTAATTTGTCAAAATGATCAAAAATTCGTAACGCGATCTTAAATTCGTAACGTAAACTCCAATTTCGTAACCAGCTTTCAATTTCGCAACGCGAATATATAAATCGTATTACGATTTGCTAAATTCGCAACACAGAAGTCAAATTCGCAACGCGATAGTCAAATTCGCAACACTGAATTTCAAATTTACAACACAAAAGTTAAATTCGCAACGTGAAACACAATAATAATTTCATAACATTTTCTCTAATAAATAGCCTAAATCTACTTAAAGCTCTAAATTCAATTTCTTTGCAACACATAACATTAGAGTTTTATAAGTTAACTTTTTTAATGACAGTTTTAGTTGAAGATTCATGGGTAAAGGCACATATTGTAAAACATCATGAACATTCTCTCGTAATCCTCCAAAACACAAATCTATCCAAACATGATCAACATTAGATGATTTCATTCTACAAATTGCAAATTAATTTACTAAACAAACGAGCTATAAACTATATCATCACTAACTTAGAGAAAAACATACCTTTATTAAGTTGATAGTTGATAATTTGGGAGAGAAATTATTGAAAATTATATAGAAATAAAATTATGTAAAAAAAATTAGAGATGGGGAAGGATGTCGTTGGATATAGGAACGAATGTCGTCGGAGAGAGTGATAGATAGAGATGAAATGAGTTGCGATTTAGGGATTTAGGTTATAGTTGCTGCTGCTGCGTTGTTATATACCCAAAACATTTGTGTTGCGAAACTAAAACCTGTTGCGAAATTAAATTCGTGTTGCGAATTCGAAAATCTAGTTGCGATTTGAAATTCAGTTGCGAATTTGACTTTTGTGTTACGAATTTGACTATCGCGTTGCGAATTTGACTTATGTGTTACGCTTTACAAATTCGCGTTGCGATTTACAGATTCGCGTTGCGAATTTGAATATCGCGTTGCGAATTTGACTATCGCGTTGCGAATTTAACTTTTGTGTTGCGAATTTGACTATCGCGTTGCGAATTTGACTTCTGTGTTGCGATTTACAAATTCGCTTTGCGATTTACATATTCGCGTTGCGAAATTGGAGTTCGCGTTGCGAATTTGTTGGTCATTTTGACAAATCTAAAAAAATTAATTAAAATCGTATATTATAAGGCATTTTCTGTCACTGTGGTTATTTTCTCTTTTTTATATTGAAATATATATTATTAATTGCACCATACATTCTCAAACTATAACTATCAGTTTAAAGAAGTCCTTAAACTTCTAAACATTCTAAATTAATCCCAAGAAATGACCCTTATTCTTAATTAGTCTCCAATTTTTTAACATTACAAATTCATCCCAAAATATGACCCTCATTCTAAATTAGTCGTCAAACTTTTGAACATTCTAATAAGTTCCCCTTAAATCATTCAAAAGTTTAGGGATAAAATTAGAACATTCAAAAGTTTGAGGATTAATTTAGAATAATGGTTGTAGTTTGAGGATGGATTTGGAATGTCTGAAAGTTTAGAGATTAATTTAGAATAAAATTTTATAGTTTATGGATGAAATTAGAGTGTTTAAAAGTTCAAACGATCATAGTTTGAGAAAATATAATACAATTATCTCATATATATACAGGTAGAGTAATTCCCGGATTGATTCTTTATGGATAAAATCGTGTTTAAAAAAATATTTACTTGCTAAACTTTTTTTAAGAATATTCATGAAAATATTTTAAAATTTTAGTAAATAATATTAAAATTTTATAAAATAAAATTATTTTATCAAATAAAATATTAAATATTAAATGGAAAAACTGAAATTAAGATTAATAGAATAAAAAATTGATCGACTATTAAAAATTTAAAATTCTAAAAACCGTATAGACCTTTAGCTACAGCTGATCATCCCTTGTTTTAATAGCCTGTCTTTTTAGGATAAACTATATGTTTAGTATCTAAATTATTACTTTTGTTATGTTTTGGTACTCAAATTTTATTTTTTAAAATTATATCTAACATTTAGTTTAGGTTTAAATTTAGTACATATCATTAAAAAATTAACATAATTGTTTACAAGATATTTCTTTTATTTTTAATGATGACGTAACATTATTTTATGGTGATACGTCAATATCACCGTTAAGCTTTTAATGGTGAGATACCAAAATAAAACCTAAACTAAAGGTTAGTTATGAATTTTGGAAAAATAAAGTTTGAGTACCAATATAAAATAAAAGTAATAATTTAGGTACTAAATGTGTAGTTTACCTTCTTCTATCAAGTTGCTTATTTTTTTTGGTTTGTAATTTCTCTTCCCTCGTTTAATGAATCATCAATTCAATTTCATAAAGGGAAAAAAAGGCATTTTGATTGTTTTTTTATGGGACTTAAGTGGTTTAATTTGGCAAGAACTGAAAAATAGAGGTCGTGAAACGAGTTAGGCGATATTTATAGAGTCCTTATATGCAATAATAGAAAAATAAAAGGACAAAAGCTGCAAAACCAACCTTTTCAAAATTAAAAAATGATTACACCGTTAACATCCAGGTTGTACCACTTTATTACACGTGGCTCTATGATTTTCTGTTGAAGCAGTTCCAATAACAATGTTTAGATTTGTGAGCGGAGGACCATTTTATTTATTTATCGTTTTAAATTTGATTGCTTTAATTAAGTAGTGTGTGTATATATATATTCTATGATGAATCGAGGGGTGTTGGAGCGATTATAGAGATAAATATTTGATTTAATTAGAATTAATTTTGATTTAATTTAGTTTTATAAAAAATATTTTTTTTTGAAAATTTGGATTTATCTCAATAAAAGTTTTTTTAAAAGATAAAATCAGGAGGAATTTAGATTTGTAGTGATAAATACATGACATGATAATAATAGTATAATTAATATTATATGTATTTAAATATAATTACTATAATATTTATCAATCTATATTTTTTTTAAATTAGGTCTCTATATTTTGAGGATAAGGTCGGGTTGAGTTTAAATTTTTTATTAAAACTTTAAATTCAAGTTTAGTCAAAATTTTTAAATGTGATTATAATTTAAAAATATAAAATAATTTATTAACATGCTTAAAATATATAAATATATTATTTTAAATATCATTATAACTTGAAAATAAACTTAAATATAATATAAATACCATGAATTACGAAATTAAATATCAGTAAACACTTAATTAAATCAGACAACCAAAACTTGGTAAGAAAGATTCATGAAGTTTGATCAAATTATTGGTAGCCTTTATGCCTTTAAAATTAAACCTAACTACTTGCTTTTATTTATTTATTTTTAATCATTGGCATTTATTTTATTGATCGTTTAACTTAGATCATATATTATATACACTTTTAATAAGGATAATTTTTCTAATTCAATTTACTCTATTTATAATGTTAATATTTAAATTTCTAGCCTTATTTATAAATCAATTATTTTATCTCATTAAATAAACTTATTGTTGATAAAATTATTTACTCTTAAACACGATAGAGATGAGATAATTTTTTTGTATTATTTTAGGGTGAATTCAAAGTAGTATCTGTTCAAAGACTCTCAATCATTTGATATTGAATGCCCATATTCCTACATATGTAATACTCGAATCTGATATCTAGAAATAACAACAATTCATTAACTATTAAGGTAATTTAATTCGTGAGAGATGATACAGTTTTAAATATAAATAGAACTTCAATTATTCGTTTCCTTAAACAGATACAAAGTCTTCTATAAGTTGGTGTAGGTGAAACAATTTATTATTCATTTTTAAAAGTATTAAAATTAAGAGCAAGTACGCCAAAGGCTGTTTTGGTGATTAACTTTACAAAAAATATAAAATAATTATTATATTTGTTGATTGGTTACAAAATGACCAATATGACATTATAATAGTTAAAAAAATTATAATTTTATTTCCTTTTAAAAATAAACATCAAATTGATTAAAAAATACAATAAGAGCAATGGACTTAAATGCTCATGGTGTTGTAAAAAAAATTATTGGCTGAAATAAAATCTCACTGTAATTATTTTTTGGTCTAGTGTGAATATTACAGTACCCATCGAAAGTCGCCGGAAACACAGTGTGTCTTCGAAAAGTCTTCGGGAACACAATGTGTCTTCGGAAAGTCGCCGGGAAGACACATGTCTTCAGCTTTGTTCAACGACATAAAAACAGGGAAGACACATTTTGTTCCCGGCGTCTTCCCCGAAAGATGCACTGTGTTCCCGACGTCTTCCTCGGGAGACACACTGTGTTCATGGCGTCTTCCCTGGAAGACACACTGTGTTCTCGACGTCTTCCCTGAAAGACGCACTGTGTTCTCGACGACTCTCCGATTATTGTCGAATTCAAATCATCTCAAGAAATAATTCCAACGATACCTTAATTCATCCAATATTTTTTTCAATAACCCTAATGCAGCAAATCAGCCAAGAGCAATGCATATCATTATGCCGTATGAAAATTGTAAATTATTGATTTTATATTTGGATTTTTTAAGAATTTAACATGATTCATATGTTTATTTATATATATAACTGATTTTTATTTTTTTTAAATATCCATATACTTTATAGCTGTTTATTGTTGAGTTAGTAAAAATGTGCTTATACTTTAGTATATAGATTTTGAAAATCCCATGATTCAGTCTCCATTTTCATCTGGTACAACTCCTCCACAAGAGGTTAATATAAATAACTTTGTTTTCAAAATTTCATAATTATAACATTTTAAAAAACTATTTGATACATAAGTTGTGTAAATTTTTATGTCTATAATTTTGTTTGTTTTAGG